CCCCCGCACCCCTGCCCCATCCCCCATCCCTGCCCCATCCCCCCACACCCCTGCCCTGTCCCCCATCCCTGACGCGTCCCCCCACACCCCCTGCCCCGTCCCTCATCCCCTGCCCCGTCCCCCCGCCCCCCTGCCCCGTCCCCCATCCCTGACGCGTCCCCCCCCCTCCCCCCGCACCCCTGACTTGCCTTCCCATCCCTGGCTCGGCCCCCGCCCCCCTGCCCCGCCCGCTCCCTGACGCATCCCCGTCCCCGCTCCTGCCCCGTCCCTCATCCCTGCCCCATCCCCCCACACCCCTGCCCTGTCCCCCATCCCTGACGTGTCCCCCCGCACCCCTGCCCCGTCCCCCATCCCTGCCCCATCCCCCCACACCCTGCCCTGACCCCCATCCCTGACGTGTCCCCCCACACCCCTGCCCTGTCCCCCATCCCTGACGCGTCCCCCCCCGCCCCTCTGCCCCGTCCCCCATCCCTGCCCCATCCCCCCACACCCCCTGCCCTGTCCCCCATCCCTGATGTGTCCCCCGCCACCCCTGCCCCATCCCCCATCCCTGCCCCATCCCCCCACACCCCTGCCCTGTCCCCCATCCCTGACGCGTCCCCCCCCCCCCCCCCCCGCACCCCTGACTTGCCTTCCCATCCCTGGCTCGGCCCCCGCCCCCTGCCCCGCCCGCTCCCTGACGCTCCCCCGTCCCCGCTCCTGCCCCGTCCCAGGGCCGGTGCTCGCAGATGTGCCACAACGTGTTCATCGTGGAGTCGGTGTGCGTGGGCTGGTTCTCGCTGGAGTTCCTGCTGCGGCTGGTGCAGGCGCCCAGCAAGCTGAGCTTCCTGCGGCGCCCGCTGACGCTCATCGACCTGGTGGCCATCCTGCCCTACTACGTCACGCTGCTGGTGGACGGCGCGGCCGCCGGGCGCCGCCAGCCGCCGGCCGCCGGCAGCTACCTGGACAAGGTGGGGCTGGCGCTGCGGGTCCTGCGCGCGCTGCGCATCCTCTACGTGATGCGGCTGGCGCGCCACTCGCTGGGGCTGCAGACGCTCGGGCTGACGGCGCGCCGCTGCGCGCGCGAGTTCGGGCTGCTGCTGCTCTTCCTGTGCGTGGCCGTGGCGCTCTTCGCGCCGCTGCTCTTCGTGGCCGAGAACGAGGCGGCCGCCAGCCCCGACTTCACCAGCGTCCCCGCCTGCTACTGGTGGGCCGTCATCACCCATGACCACGGTGGGCTACGGCGACATGGTGCCGCGCAGCACGCCGGGCCAGGTGGTGGCCCTGAGCAGCATCCTCAGCGGCATCCTGCTCATGGCCTTCCCGGTCACCTCCATCTTCCACACCTTCTCGCGCTCCTACCTGGAGCTCAAGCAGGCGCAGGAGCGGCTGCTCTTCCGCCGGGCCCCGCTGCTGCTGGGCGCCAGGGCGCGGCTCGGCCTGTCGCGGTCCAGCGAGCTCCTGTTCGACAGCGCCTCCTCGGACGCCCGGGACCGCAGCTGAGCCCGGCGCCCCCCGGACCCGTCCCGCCCCGGCCGGCCGGCCGGCGTCGGGCAGGCAGCGAGACTCGCACGCGGCCCCCTCCGGCCCCAGGGAAGGGGAGTGGGCGCGGGGCACCTCGCAGAGATGGACCTGCTGCGGGCCCCCAGGAGGGAGGCCGCTGGTCCTCCCCACCGGGGCTCCCCGGGTCTCTCTCGGGCAGGCTGGGAGCAGAGGCGGTGTGGTGGCCCCGGGTTGTGGGGGTCCAGGTGTGTGTTGGGGGGGGGGATTGTCTGTCCAGGTGTGTGAGGTGGGTCTGTGTGTGGCGCGGGGGGCAGGGGGCAGTGTGTGTGTCTATGTCTGTCTGTCCAGGTGTGTCTGCCTCTGTCTGAATGTCTGTCTGTCTGTCTGGGTATGTCTTTCTGCCCGTGTGTGTCTGTCTCTCTGTCCGTGTGTGTGTGTCTGTCCTTGTGTGTGTGTCTGTTTGTGTCTGTGTCTGTCTGTGTGTGTGTCCGTGTCCATCTGTCTCTCTGTCCGTGTGTGTGTGTCTGTCCTTGTGTGTGTGTCTGTTTGTGTCTGTGTCTGTCTGTGTGTGTGTCCGTGTCCATCTGTCTCTCTGTCCGTCTGGCAGGGGTGTCCAGCTAGGCTCTTTGTAGTGTGCGGACCCTGGACGCTCCCTTGGCTCTCCAAGGCCCCATGAGGAGAGGACAGAGGTGGGGCCTTTCCTCGACAGATGGGCTTGGAAAGAAACAACTGTCCCTTTGGAGAACTGCGGGGAAGGGCACCCACACCTCGGGGCCTCCTCAGCGCCTGCCTTTCTCTGAGGCCCTTCTGACTGTTTCTGGAACGTTCCCCCGGGACAGCCCTGGTGGCAGAGCGCCACCCACAGGCCTGGCAAGCGTGGCCACGGCACAAGAAACCGCTTCATTGCACCTTGGAAGAAACGTCCCCGTGGGTGGTTTTATCCTGCCCCACGCTTGTTTCATGTCTGAAGAAGATGCTGTCTGTCCTCTGCCTGAACTGAAGTCGGCCCCGGGGGTGGTGCTCGCTGGGCCCGTGAGAAGCAGCCCAGAGCCCTGGGGTCTCCGTGTGTCCCCCAAAGACCTCCAGACCGTCCCACAGCAGAGAGAACAGGCCTGGGCACTGTGGGGGCACGGGGGGGAGTCCCAGCCATGCTGCGGGCCCCGCTTGGGGGGCCACGGCCTCTCCTCGTGCTGGGGCGGGCGGGGGCTTCCTGCCCCTAGGCAGCACCTCACTTTCCCCATCCCAGACACACACACACACACACACACACACACACACCCCGCCTTGGCAGAGCCCCAACCCAAGACCTGCACTCGCCTTCCAGCAGGGGGCGCTCCCCTGTCCACCCTGCACCAGGTGGCTGGCTGACCCCACCCCATGTCATCTTGACACGCCCCTCCTGCTCGTGTCCACCGAGTGGCCAGTGACCACTGGCGGGTCTACCAGCTCGGGGCTCTCTCCTGCATGGTGGAGGTGGGAAGGGCCTGAAAGGGGAGAGGGGGGTCCCTGGGCGGTCACAAGGGCTGGTTCTTGGCTCCCCAGGCTCCTGCTTCGGGCCTCTCATCCTGAGATGCCCGTTTGCCCGCGGGTTAGCTCCGCCTTCACCAAGGGTGCCCCGAGAGGAGGGGTGTGGGGGGACCCACAAACGCTCATCGCTCTTGAGGTGAGACGGAGCCTCAAACTCTGGAGGGGCCCGATGGGTCAGAGCACAAGCTCACGTGCTTCCCCTGAGCACTGAGCCGGGAGTAGCCCCCGGCACCACCAGGTAGGACCCCAAACCAAAACTCAGGGGAGCAAAAGGCAATAGTATTTGGGGGTGCAAGAGAGGCCCTGATGGGGGGAGGGGGCTGGGGTCAGAGGCCAGGAGCGGGCATGTGTGGTGTCCTGCACGTTTTGGCCAGCACTGGCCTGAACTTCCTCCTCCCTCGAGGGATATCAGGGGTCTCCACACTGGCCTGAACCCACAGAGAGGGACTGGAGGATCACCCCTCATCAGCAGGGAGCACCCAGGTCACCCAGAGGCACCTGGGCCCTTTGTACAGGGCCTGTCCATGTCCGTTTCCAGGACTGTGAGGCCTGGGACCACCACGGGCCAGAGCTGTTCCCACCCTACAAGACCCCATTTCAATTGTTTAGGGGGGCTGGCTTGGGGGGTCACTCTGGGAAGGACTCAGAGCCCTCGGGACAGAGGGGGTCAAACGCCAGTGAGCATGTAAGGCAAGTGCCTGCCTCACTGTGCCATCGCTTGGGCCCCCTGGGTCTCAACCCAGGCTACAAACTCAGTAGACGTGGTGAGGGGGAGGTGCTGTGAGACCCATGTCCCAGGAGCCCTTAAGGCCGTGCCCACCTTGGTGTTACTCGGCAGGTCCTTTGGCGGCCCCACCTCCTCCGGAGTTGCCCACTACCCCCTGGAGACCTGACCTGGGAGGCCGGGGGCGGGGGGGATGTAAGGGGGAAGACAGAACAATCCAGAATCCCAGGCGCCACCTCTGAGCAGAGCCAAACTCCCTGCGATGGGCTTGGGATTCACAGGGACTCCAAGCCCAGGAAATCCAGATCGGATCTTAATGCCGTTTTGAAAGATGACCTTTAGGGACTGGGGGTTACTTCTAGTGGCAGAGCACTTGCATAAAAAAAAGAAAAGTCAAAATGACTGCCCCCAAGTCCATGGTGAGGGAAGGCGCCAACACAGAGAATGTGGCAGGATGGGGTCAGCGTCTTCCCGCGCCCCGGGTCAGTCTCCTGGCCCCAAGCCCTGACCTGGCGGGGCTGCATTAGTACCTGCCGAGGCATGGAGCCCCCCACTGTGCTTTCCAGCACGGGGACCAGGGCAGAAAAAGGCCACACGGGAACAGGGTTGAGCCTGGGTGGGGGACAGTGGCCGGTGCTGCTGGGTGACTGGCCAGGCTCAGGGAAACCAGGGCGAGGAGAAAGCCACAGAGAGGCTCAGGAAGGAGGGAGGGGTGAGGCAACATCCCAGCCAAGGGCACAGTCAGTGCAAAGGCCCTGCGGTGGGCTGACGCGGGAGCCCCTTCCCCAGAGGGAGACTGAACCTTGTCTTTTGCAGAAACCTTCCTCCCTCCCCACCCCCCCAACTTCTAACAAACAAACAGTGGCTGGGAGGAGGTGTGGAAAGGAGTTAGCAGGTGTGGGGGGGGCCACTGTCTGGCCTGGAGGCACCCATGACCCAGCTGAGGCCAGGCTGGGTAGAAGGACCCCCCCTCCCCTGACAGCCAAAGGAGGCCGGGCCAGGGGAGCACAAACATCGCAAGCAAGGCCTCCCCAGGGACAGACCTCGCGTGGGTGAATCCTGTGCCACCCAGCACCAAACCCCTCCCCGAGTAACCGCCTGGGGCCACTTCCACCATCATCACAGAAACGTCACTGGAGAGGAAGGAAGGGGCCGTGGGGGCGACCCAGCTCTGCTGTCCAGCGTGAGGACCCCCGTGAACGGGGTGCCAACCCCACACCCCGGGGTGCCCAAGCCCTCGCTCAGCAACAACGAAAGGAAGGGGGGGAGGGGGGGCAGGGTGTGAACCGTAAAAAGACAAATAAAGAGGCAGTGTCCCCTCCAGCCGCGGCTTCTCCGCACCCTTCTTGCTCCGCGTCCACTCTGCGCGCCGCGGTCAGCCAGCTCCCCTCTGCCCTCCCCCACCCCCGTCCATGCCCTCTCACCGCCCCTCCCGCCTCTCCCCTGCTCGGACCCAGTCAGGGCACAAACACTCCCCTGGGACGGCCTCTGCCACCCAGTCTCCCCCTCTTGCCCCTGCAGTTTGATTACATGGATGAAAGGGGACGGAGGGGCCCCTAGGCCCCGTGGAATGATTTTTTTTCCCGCGTTCCTTTCCGCAGAGAGCAGGCTGCTGGCGATTTGCTTTGGAGAAAGCCCAGATCCATGAAAGGGCCTCAAGGCTGATTCCACCCTGGGGCCTTCTCCAACCGGGAGGACCGAGGCTCCATCCTCGTCCGGATCACAGGGTCTGCGTCCCACCAAATTTGTTACAGCTGCATCGGGCTGTTGTGGCCCCTGGGACATTCCCAGGAAACCACCAGGGCCATGAGGCAGAGGAGGGGCCACGGCACAAGACTGGGGGCGGGCGTGACTCATAGGACAGGGGGCCCAGAGGAAGGAAACAAGGTCGGGAGGGGACCAGGTGGGGAAAGAGCTGAGTCAGAGATGGAGGCTGAGCCGCTGTCTCTGCAGGAAGGGGCGTCCATGGAAGAGTGTCCCCCCGTGGCAAGAGCCCAAGGGTTTGGGCAGGTGGTACATGAATCACCAAGCACTGCCATCAGCCGCGGGCACAGAGACGCTAGCGGCCTACCTGCTGCCCTCCCGCCCCTTCTTCCTTCCGAAAGGGCCCCAGTTTTATGTGGGCGGCTAAAGGCAGCCACGTGGAAAGGACAAGATGCTCCTTCTTCTGCTCTTTCGGTTCCTGAAGCCTGGCTGTGGTTGTTGGATCTCTAACCACCCCCTTGGGCCGGGAGGTCACTAAGCTCCACTCTGCTGGAGCACAAACCTAAAGCAGGTGCTGCGCCCTGGGGTGCTCTGACCTGAGCCTCTTGATTGAGCTCTGCTGTGGGGAGAGGGTCAGCTGGGGCTGAAGGAGGGGTGAAGTCCCAGGACAGAGGGTCTTTGGGACCAAAGCATCTCAGGTCCGAGCTCCTGGGAGGCCCCTGCCTGGCCGTGAGCCCGAACAAGGTCTGAAACATCGACTTTATCCTCTGTACAGGAGAGCAATAACCAGGGCTGGAGTGATAGTCCAGTGGGGAGGGCATTTGCCTTGCATGTGGTTGACCGGGGTTTGATCCCTGGCATCCCATAGGGTTCCCCAAGCACCACCAGGAGTAATTCCTGAGTGCAGAGCCAGGAGGAACCCCTGAGAATTGCTGAATATGACCCAAAAAGCCACTGTCACTGTCCTCCCATTGTTCATGGATTTGCTCAAGCAGGCCCAGTAACGTCTCTATTGTGACAATTGTTACTGTGCTTGGCATATTGA